GGTGGGGGGGGCAGTCGGAGGACGTGGATGGTGGCAGGGTGGGGCTACCCTCCCTCCCCGTGGAGTGTCCTATTTTTTTAATGTTAAAATATGGTATCCCTACCCTTCCCAGTGCAGGTCTCCATTCACATCAGGCTGCAGCATGAGGTCTCAGCTTCCTCCCTCCCTTCCCTCTTTCCTGTTGGTAGTGGCCAAGGGAATGCTGGGAAATGTAGTTCTTTCCCTGCTCCAGGGCTGGCTCTATAGGCAGGGAGCTAACCAAGGAACTACAGCTCCCAGGGCCCCCAGTTGCTTCTCAGCTCCCATGCTGGATCCCTGCCGCCCCTGCAAATGGGCTACCCCAAGCACCTGCTTGCTTTGCTGGTGCCTAGAGCTGCCCCTGGGTCAGTGACATTGAAGAAGAATGATTCAAGGGTGGAGGAAGCCATATTATCTCTACTTTTTTTATTTTTAGTCACAGAAAAGGCTGGGGAAAAAAAATCTGCAGCCACAGAAGAGACTGCTAAGGCTATACACGAGTGGAGTCTTTATCAAATCCTGAGGGCGGATAACGAGGCTAGACACACTGCTGCTTTTTGACCTAATGACAAACCTATGGGTGAGGATGGTAAATAAGTAAGAAACGGGGGAATGAATACAGGCAAATAATTTGCATGCATTGTAATAAAGGTTGAGCATGTTGGATCAGGTAGGTGTCAGTAACAGGCATACTAAAGCCAAAACACTTTGTTACTGTGTAAAGATATAGAGAAAATACATGAAAGAGTTTTAGTTGTTAGCGGGTAGGTGGGCTAGTCCCATTCTCCTGACCAATTGTTTTTAGGTAGCTGCATCCTGCCTCTCTCAAATACCCCCCGATTAAACACATCCAATGTATTTTATTTTTTAAAAACTTTTTTGGGGTCACACACATGGTAAATAGCTGTTGTGTTTCAGCCCAGCATTTCAACAGCAGCAAACAATTCCGGTAAAACATGTTATACTCCACCAAGGAGTCATGTTGAGTGAAGGTGTGAACTGAAGTCCAGACAGCTGCTCTTCAAATCTCTGAGACTGGAATGCCTCTTAGATAAGCTGCTCAGGCTGCCTGAGCTCTGGTGGAATAGGCCTTAATTTGCGTATGTGGGTCCGTCTATGCTATTGTATGCAAGTTCTACTGCAGTCTGAAACCCCTTTAGACAGTCTTTGAGAGGACACAGGCTGACCTTTCATGCTGGTAGCAGAGGCCAGAAACAGTTTAGGAGAATTTCTGAATGGTCTCATTCAAGACAAATAGTGGGCGAGAGTCCTGATAACATCTAAGGTTTGGAGTCTGGCTTCCCCTTGACTAGTATAAGGCTTGGGAAAAATAACTGGCAGGATCACTTGATTCAGGTGAAATCCAGAGACAGCTTTAGGTAAGAATTTTGAGTGAGGGCTTAATGTCACCTTGTCCTTTTAGAATGCTGTATATGGGGTGGGGGGTGGGGGGCAGGGTCCTGCCATGGAGGTTTGGATCTCTCCTATTCTTTCTTAGGCACTAGGTCTATGTCTACACTACCACTTGTGTCAGCAAAACTTACGTCACTCACAGCGCTAGGTTGGGGAGAGACCTTCTGCGGGGGTGGGTTTTTTCATGCCAATGGGAGAGCTTCTCTCCTGTTGGCATAATGCATCTTCACCACACACAATGAAGTGGTGCAGTTGCACCAGTACAGCTGCGCCGCTACAATGCTGTAAGTGTAGACATGCCCCAAGAAAGCTGTCTTCACAAAAAGGTGGTACAAAGAACAGATTGCTAAAGGTTCAAGGGCAGGGCCCTTTCATGCTGATGATACTACACTGAGGTCTCAGATGGGTGAAGTCTCAGACTACTGGAAAGACATGAATGAGGCCTTTGAGAAATCTAGGAACCAGTGGGTGTGACTTTTGGTTGGATGATGAGAGGAAATAGCTTCCAAATGGACTCTTATAGAGCTAGAGAGTCAAAAACACTTGAGAGCTAGCAAGTAATCTAGAATACATACTATTGGAGTCACTAAAGGTGGCAGGTGCTTCTGGGGACTGCACAATGTTGACAAATTTGTGTAACTTCTCCTGCACTATGCCTACTGGAATTTCAGGGTACTGGTCACCGGAAAAGCTTTTGGAGGATCTGGCAGTCATCTGACTGGGTTGGAAAAGCTGGGGTGATGGCCTCATCAAATGATACTGCCACTGGTATAAGGTGGACAGCCACCATCATCCTGCTCTGTGTCCTAGTCCCGACGTTGAGAAGTATGGTGGACCTTTTTGATGTCCCAAGAGGTCAAGGAGACCCACTTTTTGGAGGCAGGAGCACCTGCTGAAGTCTTTCTTCTTGGTGACATCCCCCAAAGGGCCCCCAATGACCATGAATGAATTGGACAGGTTTGGTATTGTTGGCCACGGAGATTAACAGGAGAGGGGCTCGTCACACATCTCCTGATGTCCCCTTCTGAAAAAGTATCCTCTGGACTCACTGTTGGAGTAATTTGGCTCATAGCCAGGAGAGTGTGGTAAGTACATGGGCAACATGTCTCCACTTTGCTATGACGCAGAGGAGGAGAAAATACATTTCCTCCATAGGCTGGGCCATCCTTCTTGGAGTTCTAGAGGATCCTGAAGTGTCCCGTGCAGGAACTGAGGTGGCTGATACAGGCAGATGGCACCGGTACTAGGAATTTCTTTACAACGCCCAGCAATGATGACTCTGGTTGTTCGGTTACTTCCAAGTCACGCAATACCGTGAATCTTCCTGGTACCAAGAAAGTCAGTTCTAGGAGTGTTTCCCTCAACATTGGCTGGTTGCATGGTAGGTGTAGTGGATGAGGGCACAGAGCACTCCAATATTAGGTGCTAGTATAGAAAGAGGTACACGTTGGCTCCTGACGGGCTGGTGTCTGGTGACCAATCAGTGCTCAGGTGTCAGTCAGCAGTACCTGATCTGGGCCTCAAAATGCCTGCCATTCTAGTTGGTGCTAGTAAGAGAGAGGTTCATTTCTTATCACTCTGAGCAGTGCTCTTCCCTCCCTCTCTCCTCAGAAGATTGCATTGAGAAGGGTTTGGAGGCTCTTGACAATTCCATAAACATATAAAGTCTGGAGCTTGTGGTGGTCCTGGGGCTAACAGAAGCAGTAGCAGACACGATCTGGTCCAGTTTCTTCCTCATATGGCACAGAAGATGCATTCAGAGATCTTTTCACAAGGAAAAATGTTTTTTGGAAGGATTCCCTCACTTTGTGTGTCCTTTTTTAAAAAAGGCAATAAACTAAGCACTTAAGTGCTATATATACTTCACTGAGGCAGAAGCAGCATTTTGATTCTCCATCACTGATATGAACAGCTGCCTTGCAGGAGGGATTTAGACTCTGCCATGTTTTGGGAACTGCGGGGTCCAGTACCCATGCACTCCTGAAGCTGGAGATCTTGTCTTTGTATTTTTAATTTGCCAACACACAAATAAAAAAGGAATACCATACTAAGGAATACTAAACTCAAAACTAGAGAACACTTGTAGAAAGACATGGATGCTGAAAGAGTTCCGTCTCACTGTCACCGGGAGGCAAGAAGAAGTGATGGACAGTTGTGGCCGTCTGCCCTTTATACCCTTGGCTACAAAACACCAGAGGGCATGTGGGGTGTAGATGCAGTCCCAAATGGACAAAATAATCCAATCTCACGTGCATGAGGTGCAAGTGCACTGCTAAAAGTGGAATACAAATGGACAATCCCTTGAAGAAAAGTTAGTAATGTAGCTTAAATGGAAACAAGAGCAGAAAGGTAGGAGGAATTAAGTTATGCAGGACTTTGATGGCAAGAACGAGAAGCTCGAGGTTGATTTAAACAAATCTATAGCTTGTAAGCTACATTTTAGGCACAGTAATTATGACAGCACCCAAAGGTGCTGATCAGGACACTGTACAAACTAAGGGATAGACACGGCTCCTATCACAAAGAATTTATGGTATAAGGACTACTAAATGCAGTACTTAAAATAAAGAGACCACTGAATTCATTTTAAAAATCTTTATGTGAATATAAAATAATATTTTCCAGAGAAAGAATAAAACCAGAGTTTAAAAATTAGTGCAATTTTTTTTTCCAGTTCTATGTGATAACACAGTCTTTACGTTTGTTTTAAAAACAGAAAATTTAGACATTGATACACAGTAAACCTCAAACCTGGCAGAACGAGTGGAAACAAAAGTAAAAGATTTGGGAAAGTTACTTTATTAGACATCATTAACTAAGTAGCATTTATTTAAAAAAAATTCCTAATCTATGACTGCTTAAATAAAACATTAGTATTGCTTTTACTAGTTGTCACCAAGTAAATGCTTATGATAGAAAACAGAATACTTTTGCATATTTCTCATTAAGAAAAAAATCAATATTAGGTGAAATTTTCATTAATTTCACTGAATGTATCTTAATCTCTTAAAATATAGGTGTGTTAAAGCTGCCTGATACACCTAGGAATGACAGAAATCTAATAATCCAAAATTAGGATTATTAATGGGAACCACCAGAACAGCCATATTTCAACCAAAGGGGCAGAGTTAATCCCATACAAATATCTTATTACAAATTAAATTAAATGGTCTCACACCAAGTGAAATCTCTATCCCCAAAACCATCCATGAAACAACGCTCTAGTAATTTACAACATTTGCAAAGGGGATTTTTTCTTTCATCATTGGATCTATATTACCAGCTTTATTAGAAAGTTACTTCTTTCCAACATTATTAGCTGTACTGGAGAAATACAGCAGGAATCAATTATCTCATTTAATAATCTGTGTGCATTTATAGCTGTGACATCTGAACACAACATAAATTAGATTTATCACGAGACAGCCAATAGCCCTAGTCTCTGGATCACCCCAATTGTCCACACTAAGTAAATCTGGGAAACAATACCAGTTGTACATAGCTCAGTAATTTGTAGCTAAATAATTCAACACTTTTCTAAAGAGTGTGCCATCAATAAAGATTCTCAAAACATGCTCAATATAAAGGTTAATCCTACTGCATTTTTTATTATACCACCTTAAAACGAGTGGAAATGAATAGTAGATGAATGGCTCGTGATCAAATACTGAGGTCTGTTGATCAATTCCTCACTCGCAGGTGGAGGTCCAAATTTAACCAGACCTGTGAAAATAGTTCTTCTACAACTTCTAACTAGTCCTGAACAGATGGTAAAGAAGTGACATACTGCTTTACCAGTTCCAATAATTCTAAGTAAAATTTTATCTGACAGCTAAATACATAGTGATGGCCATCCCAGAAACACCTCATACAGATAATCCTTCTCTGAAAATCCAAGCTGTCCTTGAGTAACCACTAAAATGCTTACTGCTACTTAGCTGACACAGCCTCAGCTAAGTAAAAGGGATCATATTCCTTATTCAAGTTCTTTGGACCTGGTGTCTGCAGTTTTGAGAAGGGTTGGTGAAAGGGTTCTATTCCTACTAGCACCTGACTTGCGATATTGACACTGCAACACTAATGTGATAACATATGACAGAATCCATTAGGACTATATTCTAGGTGAGTGCTTTCAAAAGGAAGCCGAAGAATTACCGTGTTTGTGAAATCGCATTTACAGGGAAAAACACCTATTCAATGATATTAGTGATAATTCTGTTCCACATTTCACAAAGAACATACTAAAATACCAAACCTTTTAAACATAAGAGTCATGCTAAGACATCTGCAAAAGTTGCCTTCCCACCCACCCACCCATTTCAATCAAATAGTAGGCAATCAAAGCTTAGAAACATACAAAAACACAATCCAGCAATATCAATGCATCACTAAGAGTCATCAACAGAAGCACAGAATTCTGCAGGACAGAACTTGAAAGACAAAATAACAATAATTCAATTAGAATATTTATTACAAATAAGTGTAGTATACGGTTAGATTTCAGCTCTCTCTATTGATAAACATTTTAGGAGGAAATCAAATTGAATGCTGATATTTATAATACTGTAAAGAGAGCAAAACACTTTTTTAAAGAAACACAAACTGAACGAGTGGACAGACTTTTCCTGTGGAATCATGCAGGAGGTCCATTTCCAGAATGATCAGGACCTTAGGGCAGCAAGAGATCAAAAGAGAAGCCTTATTTAGAGGCTTGTGAAGTATCTAATGAAATGCAAAGCTACTCAAAATTCATATTTCATTACAAACTCAAAAAGACCTAATTTTGAATTTTGCAAGCAAAATTGAGTCCAGCTTTCAAATTAATATGGCTTTAATATTGAAAAGATACACACATTCTTTTAATCCAAGCACGTGATGTTTACTATACTATAGGTATGGTAGCCTCACATCTTTACCTTAGTTTGCTAGATTAGGTTTCTTTTAAGTCTGCTGTGACTTTATTCACTGTGTTATTTTACTATTGATGTGACAGACTGGTCTAGTCAGTTTATAAAGATCATGGAAAATTCAAAAAATCTTTTTTAAAGGTGCTTTTTTGTAAGTTTTTGATGTGAAAATAGCCATTTTGTAAACAAATGTCAACTGAAGTGTTGTATGGATAGGTGTGAAACAAATTTTTATTAAAGCTACTGTTAAAATGATTTAATAAACAGGTTTAAGGAAAGAGTATCTATACATCTGGGTATAATGCTTAAATTATCCCAAAGTACAAAGTTTGGTTTAGAAGTCATAAAATACAGATAGTACATAATCTGCAATATCCCAAATTACATTTAATAAATTTAATGATACAGATAAATTTCACACCAATCCATCTAGCTATGTTCATCTTCCGAGATCTGGGATACCGGATGTCTTGTACCTTTATCTTTTCCATGCCAAACAATCTATGTTACTAACCATGCGCAAAGATCTCTCCATTAGCCTGTCTGCTTGATGTGATTAGTTCACAGTAATTAAAGAAAATATATAAAAACCTGAGGAATGAGAGAGTGATTTTTATGCGCAAAGCTGTTTAACTGAATAAATAGTAGGGATTTCTCCCCTCCCAAAGACTGTAATAAAAATTATATAATACAACTACATTTTAGAAGTGTTGTTTTTTTAAAAAACATTATTGACTACTACATTAATTCAAACAGACAGACTTTTTGGCTTTAGTGAATTCAGCACGTTAAAGACAGGTTTTCCTTAAGTATATACACAAATTTAAACAAATTAAGTAGTTACCATTTTAAGTAGATTGAAACTTTCTGCTTCTTGATTGAGATAGTGATATATCTTCTGTCTTAAAAGTTAAGTCCTGAAGTCACTAAACAGTTTTGGAATGCCAAAATTCTCTTGATTCACAAATGCATCATTTTAAAACTATGGACTCTTCTAGCCAAAGGACTGATTTTTCTTTATGTTATAAAGATCCAGCAAATATACCTAGTGTTATCAATTTTCTGATGTTTTCCAAAAATTGTTCTTCTGTTAAAAAAAATCAGTCAATTCCAGACTAAAAATATTAAATATAATATATATTGCCAATTTTTTGTATTTATATACAATATACTATGAAGACAAATATAAATCTTTAAAGCTGTGCTTGTAAACACATACTTCAGTTATTCAAATCTACTTCCATCTAGGTGCTGCTTTTTAGAAAAGGTTGCTGGCGCAACAGTCTTTAGTAGACTAAGAGTGCTGATGATTTTTAGAAACCATTCACCAAATTAATTTACCATTGTGTATTCAATAAGTTTTGATGTTAAAATAGCTGAAGCCCAGCATCACAACCTCTTCCTCGGTCAGGTAGTTACAATGGAAGCCACAAAATATTTTAAGGACACTTTAGTGTAAACGTTTCCTTTGTGGTTTAATCCGATGTTGCATTAGGTACTTTAATAGAGAGATTCCGTCTGGCGTTGGTGACATGTCGTTGCTGTGCTAGGAAAGAGCGTCCAGGAGGGCATGACCCAGGGTCTTTGCAGGTACTGCTACCCACCAGTCTGGATTCCATACTGAGCTTCTGGAAAGCCAGGCTCTGTGAAGAAATAAAATAAGCGAATGAGACATCTTTTTCACATCATCAAAAGTAGCTGGAATTTTGCATTGCATGTCCCAGTCCCGTTTCCCACTCCCTGCCCCATCCCTGGCTTTCAGTCAAGTTTCTTTCTCCTCATCACTCCCAGTCTTCTTGTCCCAATCCACTTCTTTCTTTTCCCTAGCCACATGGAGGAACTGTGAGGGTCTTGAGCATGCTCAGTGAAGACAGAATCTTAAGCAGCTAAAATCTCTGAACTCTGAAGTCTTCTCTATGAGCACATGGGCATTGAAACATTTCAAAGGCTTATAACTTAGCCAAATTTGAGTGGATTTTCACGGAGACAGCAAAAGGCATATTCCCTAACGCAAAGGCCACCCCTGTGCCAAAGTTCAAGATCCTGCTCCAAAGCATGGGGGTACCAGAGGTTCTCAGAGGAAAAAGTCTTTTTTTTGGGGGGGGTGGGGGGGTTACATTGCAAAACAGAATAATAGAAATGTAGGGCTGGAAAGGACCTTGAGAAATTAGTTATCAAGTTGAGCCCCCTGCGCTGAGGCAGGACCGAGTACACCTAGACCATCCCTCACTGGTGTTTGTCCAACCTCTTCTTAAAAACCTCCAGTGATGGGGATTCCACAACCACCTTTGGAAGCCTACTCCAGTACGTAACTACCCTTATAGTTAGATAGTTTTTTTCCTAATATCTAACCTAAATCTCCCTTGCTGCAGATTAAGCCCATTACTTCTTGTCCTGCCTTCAGTGGACATGGAAAACAATTGATCACCATCCTCTTTACAACAGCCCTAAACATATTTGAAGACTTATCAGTTCCTCCTTCAGTTGTCTTTTCTCAAGACTAAAATGCCCAGCTTTTTTAACCTTTCTTCACAGATCAGGTTTTCTAAACTTTTTATCATTTTTTGTTGCTCTCCTCTGGACTCTCTTCAATTTGTTCACCTCTTGCCTAAAGTGTGGTGCCCAGAACTGGACACGGTACTCCTGCTGAGGCCTCACCAGTGCCAAATAGAAAGGGACAATTACCTCCCATGTCATACATATGACACTCTGGTTAATACACTTCAGAATGTTATTAGCACTTCAGAATGATATTTTGCAATTCCTAATTTGTTGACTCCTATTCAATTTGTGATCCACTGTAACACTCATATTTTTCTGTAGTTCTATTGCCTAGCAAGTTACTCTGCATTTTGTAGTTGTGCATTTGATTTTTCCTCCTTAATTGTAGTTCTTTGTACTTGTCTTTACTAAATTTAATCTTGTAAATTTCAGAGCAATTCTTGAATTTGTCAAGGTGGTTTTGAATTCTAATCCTGTCCTCCTAAATGCTTGCAATCCCCACAGCTTGGTGTCATCTGCAGATTTTATAAGCATACTCTCCACTCAATTATCCAAGTCATTAATGAAAATACTGACTAATACCAGAGCCAGGACTGATCCCTGTGGAACCCCGCTAGATTCACCCTCTCAGTTTGACAGCAAACCATTGATAACCACTCTGAGTATGGTCTCTCAACCAGTTGTGCAACCTTATAGTAATTTCATCTACACCATATTCCCTAGTTTGCTTATGAAAACATCAGTGGGACTGTGACAAAAGCCTTGCTAAAAATCAAGATGTAGCACATCTTCTGCATCTCCCCCCATCAACAAAGCCAGTAACCCTGCCAAAGGAGGAAATTAGGTAGGTGTGGCATGATTTGTTCTTGACAAAGTCATGCTGGCTATTCCTTATAATCCTATTTTCCCCTAGGTGCTTACAAACTGATTGCATAATAATTTGTTCCAAAATCTTTCCAGGTATCAATTTAGGGTGTCTGGTCTATAATTCCCTGGGTCATCTTTGTTCCCCTTTTTAAAAATAGCTACTATGTTTGCCCTTCTCCAGTCCTCTCCAGACCTCACCTGTTCGCCATGAATTCTCAAAGAGAATTGCTAACGGTTCAGAGATTGATTCAGCTAGTTCCTTAAGTTCTCTAGGATGAATTTAATCAGGTCCAGCCCACTTGAATACGTCTAACTTATCTAAATATGCTTTAACCCGTTTCCCTATTTTGGCTTGCATTCCCTTTCCCCTTGTTGTTAATATTGTTTGTGTTGAGTATTTCGATACCATTAACCCTTTTAGGGAAGACTGAAGCAAAATATTTTTCCGTAACTTTGTTCTTACAAATGGCTGAACTGTTTTGGCTGAAAAAAACTTTCCAAAACCAATTCAGCCTGATGCAGACACCCAGTATGCAGAATTTGAGTTAAAGTTTGGCAGATAACAAAAAAAACTTGTTAAGCAACTGAAAATACAAGTTTCTAATGGGAAGTGTCAGGCAACCTTAATACTAGGCGGTGCTAATAGCCCCACCTATCATATATGTTATTGTTTTAGAAAGAGGCTATTTTAGCCTTCATCCTTGATGTCTGTGCAAAGATAACTGTAGAGAAATGGGTTTTTCCTCCCATAGGTAACCAAATTTGTAACACATCTAAAAAAGGTAATCCAGGTCTCAAAATCACCTCAGTAGTATTCAATGAAACAGGCTTTAAGTATGGAACAGATCAAGATGGCAAGAAAATTATAGTTTCAAATTGTTTATAAGCTCATCCTGAGTACTTCTGACTTTTAAGTTACCATACTGACAGACGAGTGGATTGTTTCGACCTACCTTGTTATACCATGCAGATACAATTAGCTTTTCTTCATAATCACGCAACTTGGCAATCTTACATTCACTCTAGAGAGAAAGATAAACAGATTTAAAAATAGACAAGGGAATCTTAACTACACAAAAGTTCTGAAAAGTGTAGATAATTATAAAAACTTTATCAGAGTCCACTTTCCTTAGAGGACTTGACTGAGATAAACACATACAGTAGTGTGATAGACAAATACTGCAACTAAAACAGTGTAAACAATTATATGGATTTTCAAAAGTGGCTATCAAAGTGATGAAATTGTTTATTATTATAATAGACTATTGCAAGAAAAGGAACCACTCCTTACCAAGACAGACGGATAAAAATTTTAAATAATGCATCACTGTAAAAAGGAAACCTTTTTGTGGATATATAATCAAGAGTATGTTCAGTGCAAATATTTCAGAAAGTCATAATTCCATTGCATTAGCAGCCATAAATGAGCAATTATCCCCACTGATTTAATAATCTAGGGTCCTAGTCTACTGTCAGTACACAGAAAAGTCAATGGGAATTTTGAGTGCATAACAAATGCAGGATCAGGCCCTTAAAGATTTAAAAACTGTTTAGAAATGTTATATTTACCCAAGTAGCTTTCACTAGGAACAGCATTTTTAGTATAACCTGTGTAATATTTTAGTGTCTCTAATATTATTATAATAACTCTATATCAAAATACATAACTCATTACATGTAACAGACTAAATTATACTTAAAAAGTCATATTTTCCATTCAACAATGCATGGTATTATACAGATTTCCAATTACCATAGTGCACTGGTAGCACTATAGTTAAACTACAGTTTACTTTAAACTCTCTGAGATGTTTTAAATTCATACACATTACTTTTCATAAGGAATAAAACACTTAACCTTAAAAATAAACACCTTTTATAATATTATATATGTGAACAGTCTTGACAGATTCACCTCAGGACAGAATGTCAGCAAATCAAGGTCAAATCTCTGTGCTTGATAGGTTGAGCAGTTCGAGTAATAGAAAGGCAATTGAATCAAAGAGACTTTGCAGTGTCTCACACACAAGTGAGATTTCCACTTAGGACATACAATAGGATTTTAAAAAGAAAAACAAGAAGAGATATAAGTTTTACCTCCAGTGCTTCAATTTTTTTGTCTCTCTCTATTAGCTGCTTTCTCAGCAACATAATTTCTGCTGATGCTGGATTTAGTTTGGGGTCTAAGGTTTTTATCACCTGTATAAAGAAAATGAATATATTATGCTTGATGTTTCATCTTCAACAACCTCACATCTCAGCTGGAAATAAAACATGCAACAGTGAAATCCAAATGAAGGACACAAGTATGACAGAAGATGCCAATTAATAAGGAAGCGTTAATAACAGCTTTTCATATTTGGGATTACATTCTACACTATGCTGCATGCAAGTTACAATAACCAAGGAATTTGGCCTAAAAATGTGAGATAAAACCACTTTTAATACAGGATATTTGAGAAGCCTGTCAGCATCACTGATTCATAGAGGTGGGATGATGGGGAGGGGAGAGAAGAGAGACTTTATTTATATTGAAATGTACCACTCACATTTCTTGCTTTCTCCAGGTACATTTTATATCTTTCTTCCATTGCTTTCATGTCTTCATCTTTTTTACGCAAAGCTGCCTCCAGCTCATCAATCTTTTGAGCTATTTAGAAAAAAAAACATTTTAAAAACACCAAAATGACAGGGACTAGGTATTTTTAAAGCTTCATCAATATTCTACTTGTATTACTCCTGGGGGAATTCTGCACCACTGTGTAATGCAGAATTTTGCGGAAATTAACGTTTTTTGCACAGAATTTTCTTTCTCCCACAGAAATGGGCTGTAGTGCTGCTGGTTGCCACTAGGGGCTGCTGGACCCAGCAGAGCCCAGCTCACACATTGAAGACACTGCCAGAGGGAGGGGGAGAGAGAGCTAAAGGGTTCGCCGCATGCCCTGAGGGAAGGAGAGGGCTGCGCACAGGAAACTCTGTGCAAGCCCCAGAAGGAGCATCAGGCTGTTTCTCCCTCTGGATCCTGGGGCTCTAAGGGGTAGAGGGACGGGTGTCTGGGCTGGGGGGACTCCCCCACAGCTGGGCTCTGAGGGGGAGGTGGTGCGGGTATCTGGGCTGGGCTCTGGGAGTTAGGGGGTTCGGGTGTATTGGCTGGGGGGGGGGGTTGCAGCTTGGCTCTGGGGGGGAAGGGTGTGTGAGTGTCTGTCCCTCCCCCCAGTTGGGCTCTGGGGGAGATGGGGGCAGAGAAGCAGGAACTGTGTTGTCGTAGGGGTTTCTTTAACTCTTCACTCCTGGGGGAAATTTTGTGTGTCTGTATTGTTACAGACGTACTTGCTGATAGGTACTTTGAAATAAATTACCGAAATAACTGAAACTGGCATGATTGTGTAGTGTTATTTGAACAAATACAATTTGCAGAATTTTAAAATAGTCTGCACAGAATTTTTATTTTTTTGGCGCAGAATTCCCCCAGGAGCACTGTATTTATGATGTAATGCGTTAGGCTCCTGAAGAGTTCTAGGCCATATCAATATTTCAGTATAATTTAGAGAGAGACAAATGATAGAGCAGGTGAGAAGTTATTTCCAAGAAATTATTTATATTTCGTTAGCACTAAAGGACCGAAGACTGAAGTCCCATTGTAATGGAGACACACACACACACACACACACACACACACACACACACACACACTCTCTCTCTCTCTCTTCTTTTTCTGTTTCAAGTTTACTTTACTTTTCCAAGTTAAACTGGTATGAAAATGGTATCTCGTGCATGGAGGCAATTATGACTACAGAGGTACTTTCAGGAGCAAATATTATGTAACCTCATGCAGATACTTACAGTTCTGATTTGCATCTGGCTGAAGCTCTGCAAAAAGTGCCTCTTTTTTCTGTAACTCATCATGGACTTCATTCAGTTTTTCCCTATGGATTCAGAGATTTGATCCAGAGGTTAGGTTAATGCAGGGGTGAGTAAACTTTTTGGCCTGAGGGCCACATCGGGGTTCCGAAACTGTATGGAGGGCCGGGTAGGGAAGGCTGTGCCTCTCCAAACAGCCTGGCCTCTGCCCCCTCCCCACCCCCCTCAGAACCCCCGACCCATCCAACCCCCCTGCTCCTTGTCCCCTGACCGCCCCCTCCCAGGACCCCCGTCCCTATCCACCCCCCCCAGAACCCCACCCCCTATCCAACCCCCCCGATCCCCTGTCCCCTGACTGCCCCAACCCCATCCACATCCCCACCCCCTGACAGGCTCCCTGGGACTCCCACGCCTATCCAACCACCCCTTGCTCCCTGTCCCGACTGCCCCCCGGGACCTCCTGCCCCTTATCCCACCCCCCCCCCACTCCCCACCCCCTTACCATGCCGCTCAGAGCAGCAGCACTGGCAGCCGCACTGCCCAGCTGGAGCCAGACATGCTGCCGCGCTGCCTGGCAGGAGCTCGTAGCCCCGCCGCCCAGAGCGCTGGTGGCAGGGTGAGCTGAGGCTGCGGGGGAGGGAGGACAGCAGGGGAGGGCCCGGGGGCTAGCCTCCCCAGCCGGGAGCTCAAGGGCCAGGCAGGACGCGGGCCATAGTTTGCCCACCTCTGGGTTAATGCTTGCATTTCACACTCTAGTAACTGAAAACTTGTATGAAAATTCTTCAGTGTGATGATAAATATATTGAAAAATAATACAGGTAAAAGGTTTGTTGTTGTTGAAATATCAAACTATTCTCTCAATTGAAAATAAAAAAAAGTATTAAAAAAAGTGAAAAAAGTCACCACCTCTGAGCTGAGAGACTTGGAAAAAGGCATATTTAACTCCAAACTTAAACAAGAGCACACTATCCTCCTCTGGAAAGGGACTATAGAGGTTGAAAGGAGTTCTTTCAGGAAGCTGAGGGGGCTGTGGCAGCGACCAAAAAAAAAAAAAAAAAAATCATGGTTATGAAAGAAAAACTGTCCTAGAAAAAAGGACGAATTACTTACCTGTACAGCACCTGTTGTACTTTGAAATGCATTGTGCACATATACATTCCACTGTAGGCGCTTGTGCACCCAATGCACTCAAGTTAGAGACTTTTTGCTAGCAGTAACAGCAGGCAGCACATGCAACCCTGCCATCCTCATGCCCGAAGCAGAGAATATAAAGGGGCACACTGCCATGGTGTGATGGGGTGTGCTCCCCACACCAGCCCAGCAAGAGCTGAATTAGGCTAGGTGGGCCCAATAGGTAATTGGCCTGTAAGCAGGGGAGCTTTAGGCTGGAGGCAGTTATTAAGGACAGGCTCACCTGTGCAGGAACGGGGAAGAGGCTGTATAAAGCCAGGTAGCTGCCCGCAGATGGGGGCAGTTGCTGCTGGGAAAGGCAGCAGGGAAGTAATCTGCAGTTGCTCACTGAACCGAGGGAGTTGGAGACTGGCAAACCCAGAGACGGAGGAAGATAGATATGTTGGAAGAAGCCCAGTGACAGGGACCAAGGCTGCTTGTTATAGGGTCCCTGGGCTGGAACCCAGTGTAGAGGGCAGGCCTGGGTTCCCCTACCAGCCATTGGGGAGCGGCAAGGGCTTTGGAGATGCCACCCAGACAGTAGGTCTGGAAAGACTGTGTTCCCTGGACGGGGAGGACCTTAGTGGTCTGGCTGGAGGGCCAAGCCACAAAGAGGAGGCTGCAGATCTGGGAATAAGTGCGGCAGCAGAGTGAGACAAGACGGGAGAAGATGCTACTGAAGGGACAGTGCAAGCTGGCACAGCTAATTCCCAAGATGGCCAGCAGGAGGCGCTGCAAGCAGTGCGTGAACCCTGTGACATGTAATGAACATCAGAGGAAGTAGGGAAAGCACGGGGGTCATGGAACGTATATGTGCATAACACGTCAAAGAACAAGAGTTACTAGATAGGTAAGTAACCATTTTTTTCCTCCTTCCAGCGATTGTGCACATATATACATTCCACCTTGGGTGGAAATAGCAAATAGCAATAGTTTGCTTGAATGTGGTGGGACTTCAGCAAGTCAGTGCTGCAGTCTTTCTTCAAGCAGTTCAAAGTTTGCATCCGTTTGAGAAGCTTGTGTAATTGCACAGTGTGTGGAGAAGGTATATAAAGTTGTTTCTGCTTAACAAAATGTTCACTAATGGTACATTGCTCAAAAAGGCTTAATGTACTGGGATATATGCTCAGCTGTAACAGGTTGTCCTTTCATCCTTCTAACATAAGCTACAAAAAGTCTGGGAGATGATCTCAAAGTGTGACCCAGATAAAAGGATACAGCCCTTCAAATGTCAAGAACATGAAGCTTTTCCTCAGTCTTGTAAAAGTGGGGCTTCAGAAATAATACTAGGAGATATATGATCTGGTTGAGGTGGAATACCGAGACAACTTTAAGAATAAGATTAGGGTGCGTCCTGAGACCTTGTCTTTGTGGAATATCACATAAGAAGCTCCTGAAGCTCTGATACCCTCCTTGTGGGAATAATTGCTACCAAAAATGCTGTTTTCATTAATAGCAATGGTAAAGAAGCTGTTGCCAATGGTTCAAAGGGGGAACCCAATAAAGTGTGACCATCAAATTCCGGTCCCATGCTGGTATGGAGCAGACAGGAGGGCAAACGTGAGTAAGTCCTTTTAAAAGCCTGGTTACCAAAGTATGTGAAGAGATAGAACATCCTTCCATCAGCATATGTAATGTAGATATAGCTGCTAAACAGACTCTCACTGAACTGATGGAGAGACCAGAAGATTTCAGATGCAATAGGTAAACCTAGGTATGTCTGATCTGTGTGCGACTCAGTGATAACTGATGAGATCTGGCCTAGGTTGCAGATCTCTTCACTTAACTGCAATAGTGGCTCTAATAGAGTCTGTTCTGTTGCTGACCAAAATGGCCTGAATCTCCAGAGAACAGACTTTTTCAACATTACTTAGCCAGAGATCATTCAGGCTATGAGGTGGAGAGATTGGAGATTAGAGTGCAGCTCTCTCCTAAACAGTACAAATATATTAAGTCCATTATTCCTTATCCTTTAAGGCAGGCCTGCACAACATGCGGCTCGCATGGGCTCACTGTGCGGCCCGCGGCGGAGGGTGAGGGAGGGGGGCTGAGGCGAGTGAGCGGGCGGGCAGTGGCGGGGGGGCAGGTGAGCCTGTGGCTGGCCCCAGCTCACCGCTGCTCCGCCTCCACCTCCTCCCCTGAACGCGCGCCCCCCGGGTTACCTGCTGCGGCGCGGGCAGCCCTCCTCGCACCCCCCCACCCCAGCTCACCTCCGCCTCCATCTCCCTGGGCCTGAGCGCGAAGCCGCCGCACCGCTTCTCAGCCCTCCCAGGCTTCCCGCGCGAACAGCTGATTCACGGGAAGCAGGGGGGCTGCGAGCTCGGCCCGACCCGGTGCTCCAGGTGCTGCGCGGCGGCAGCAGTAAGGGGGCAGGGAGCGGGGGGGTTGGATAGAGGGCAGGGGAGTTCGGGGGGGGGTGGTCGGGGGTGGGTGGGTTGATAGGGGTCGGGGCGGTCAGAGGGTGGGGAACAGGGGGGTTGAATGGGGGCAAGGGTTCCGGGGGGACCATCAGTAAGGAGGGGGAGGTTGGATGGGGTGGCGGTGGGCAGTCAGTGGCAGGGGTTCCAGGGGCTGTCAGGAGACAGGGAGAAGGGGTGGTTGGATGGGGCAGGGGTCCCGGGTGGCCATCAGGAATGAGAGGAGGCGGGGGGCAGTCAGGGGACTGGGAAGGGGGGGCGTCAAGGAACGCGGGGGGTTGGATGGGGCAGGAGTGCCGGGGGGGGGGCCATGACCCCCTTGTCGGGTGAGGAGGGAACTGGTTGTTTAGATTTTGGCAGCTCATCACTGGCCGGAGGGGTGGGGAGCTGAGGAGGCGAGTGGGCGGGCAGTGGCGGGTGGGGGGCTGAGGAGGCGAGCGGGCGGCGGAGGGTGGGGGGCTGAGGTGGCGAGCTACGAGTCGGTGGCTGACCTGTTCTACTGATCTGGTCTGGCTCCCATCCCCTCTCCAAGGGTTGCAGCTGTCTGGAGGTGCCTGCCTTCCTCATTCACACCTCATTCATTCAACAGGGCAACTGATTACAAAGTGGGGGGGGAAGACCTTATTTATTCTACTTCTAGCATAAAGACATTTTTCTTTTACCTTAATTATACTACCTTAGGGGCCCACTATAACATATTACCAAGGTTCAATACCGCTGTTTCGGTGGGGCGGAGCTGGGGAAGGAGGGTTTGTTTCCGCATGGCGGGCGGCGCTTGGGGGGGGGGTTATGTTTCGGGGGGCTGGGAGGGGAGTTCAGCGGCGCTGGGAGGTTCGGCCCTCAGCTGTTTTCTTTGGAGTAATATGGCCCTCGCCGCTTTACGAGTTGTGCAGGCCTGCTTTAAGGGAATAATGTCATTTCATTACCTTAAGTAGTTACCCAGACACTTCAACTTAAACACACTGGATAGATAAAACCGTAAAACACGTGTATTAATTACAAACAGAGATTTTAAGTGGGTATAAGTAATGAGGCATAAAAACCAGAAAACCTTAGAAGAAAAATAAAGATTAAACACTTACTAATATCTACTTAAGAATCTCTTAGTTGCAAAGCAAACTGTGTCACCACATGCTCCAGCGGATTACAGAGCAAACTTTCAGCTCTGCTATGATCTAGCAAAGGTTTCTCCTCCTCCCCCAGAGTCCTATGGCTGTTTCCTTTTGTCTTCTAAAGTGTGGAGAATAAAATGGGAGGGGGGGCAGGTGCCTTGGGGTGTTTGCCCCTGCTTTTTATAGTTCTAGTCCCTCTCTTGAAAAACATAGCCAGTTGAGAACTGAGAGGCAAAGTCTGTGTGGAAGGATGATCCCCGCTGTTCTTCTTCACCTATTTGAGCTTCCTTTGTTTCCCTTCCAGCTTGATGATTCTGCCTACTGCTTAGATGCAAATTAAGGCAAACATAGACCTGTCTTGAACAAAGGAGTGTGTTTGACCAGTTTGGTGCTACATGAATCTGAACGTGTATTTTTAACATCATAGACGGGAATCATGTTGCCACACGTTTTATCAGGACAATACTGATGAACAAATTATGAATTTTCAAATGATACCTTACAAGGCACACCTTGTACAAAGATGACTATAAAAGTGTGTAGGGTGTGAGTGCAGGAGTGTATTCTAGAACAATACTGTTCTGGACACATCCCTTTGAAGTTTCTTGGATTAACCAATGATCCAGGTAGAAAAATATTTGAACTCCGGAATGAAGAAGATGGGCTGCTACCATTTGGTAAACACTCTTGGGGTCCCGAGGGCAGGCCAGAGGGTAGTGTCCTGGCAGTGCCTGTTCCCAACTACAAATTGAAGACACTCTCTGTGGTCCAGATGTGTTGCCACATGAAAGTAAGCATCCTGCAAATCGAGGGCAGCATACCAATCACTAGGGAAGGGATAACAGATGTGAGGCTGACCCTCCTGAATTTGATTTTCTTGATTAAACTTGTTTTCTCAAATCCAAAATGGGCCTTAGACCACCTCACTTTTTGGAAATCAGGATGTAATGGGAACAGACACCTTTCCCTTTGTGTTGATAAGGAATTTCCCTCTATTGCTCCCAATTCCAAAAAGAGACTATACTTCCTGAAGTAAAACAGCTTTGTGAGATGGGTTCCTGAGAAGGGATGAGGAAGATGGGTTGAGGGAAGGGCAGTAGAAAGGATAACATAGCCCTCGTTCACAGTGCTGAGCTCTCAGGCTATGCCTGGCAAAAGAGAGAGGGAGGCACTTTCCAAAAGGAGGTTCTGGCTCTAGGAGGTGAGATGTGGTTGGTGTGTTGTCCTTGATCAAAATATCAAAATGACTGTTTCAATGCGGAAGTCTGATAAGAAGAGCCTGCTGATGACGAAGCTGATGTCCAACATCTAGGTGGTTTAGATCTCCTCTTCGAAGCATCCTGAAGTCTGAGCTGGTAGAATGAAGATCGATAGTGTGTCTGAGGTTTGATCTGTTTTCTTTTTGTTGCTGGAATACAAACTCCCAGAGAAGAGAGAGTTGCTTGGGAGTCTAACGTGTACATGGCATTATCAGTCATTCGAGAAAACAATTTAGAATCTTCAAATGGAAGGTCTTTGATTGTGTTATACAGCTCTCTATGGCCTGTAACCAAGACTGCCTCATCGAACTGGCTGCAGCCCTCGAGTGCAAAGTGGTGTCTGATGCATCAGTGGTCGCTTGGAGATAGGCGCTTCTGAGACTCCTGCTAGAAACTGGTCCTTGTATTCTTCACGCAATTTGCAAATTTTGCAAACACTAACAAATTAACATACATATCTGGACAATAATGCTTGATAATTTGACACCATTATTTGAAGGTTTGTGGTGATATATGTAAGTTGCTTACATTCTTTGTCCTTGGGGTAGGACTTCTTTGATCACTGCCATGATTACCAAGGAGTCTGGGACAGGGTGGGTGGGGGAAAAAAAATCATATTCCTCCTGAGGAACATGACACCTGCCCATGTGTTTGGCAGTGGGTGGAACAGAAGCTGGGGTTTGCCAAAAGGTTTCAGCAGGATCTAATAGGGCTTCATTCATGGGAAGGACAACCCTTCCCAGGGCTGGAGCTTGTAAAATACCTAAAAACTTGTGCAGATTGTCATGCACAATTTCGACTGTACTCCTAACAACTACACACCTTGTGAGGTCTTGAAAGACTTTGAAGTCTCCAGACAGTGGTGAAGATGACTCAAGACTTATGGACTCATCAGGGAAAGAAGAATGTGAAAAGAAAGACGTGGGGGTTCATCCCTAGATTTCCCTTCCTCTGCCGGTTCCAAAACTGGATATGGCTGACGAACTGAAAGATGTTCCCTGATAGACAAAGGCACTGGAGAAGGTCACTTGCTCCTAGACTGCATAGCAGATGGTGATCTGGAAGCTCTGGGAGCAGTTCAAGGGGGTCAGTACGGCCAGGGCAGGTGGCCATGGAATGCAGAATGACATACCAGCGTTAGCAGCTATGCTGGCAAAAGTGTGTTGATGGTACAGTGAAAAAAAAATGGTGCTGTTCATGCCAATGTAGTTGAAGCTACTGTAATCAGTACCAGATGGTGATGAAAAGGAGAGTCAAGCACAGGGATGCACATAAGGGTTTTTGCTGCAGGGACATAGACAGTACACATATCAGAGATAAGTACTCCTCAGATAAGGCAAGTGGCACTGGAACCAGCAGTGCCAGTGTTGTAGATATCGCTGACAGAGAAGGTGAAGCCACCAGTCTCGATGGCCCTGCTGGAGCCGGAGTTGATGGTGCTGCCTCAGACAGTACTGGTGAATGTTGGTGTTTATGACCAGACCTTGACTCCCATACTGGAGGCATTTTTAGCAGATCTGTCCCCCTTTTGAGATGAAGAATGCAATCTGGACTGTGACAGCCTCAGAAAATGAAGACTGTATTGAAGGCTATGAGAAGAACACAGGAGAAGAACATTGTTTTTCTCCTGATTTTGGCTTTGGGACTGAAACAGCCAGAAAGGCACTGAAGAACTCTCCATCTTCTCAGGACTGGGATCAGGCTCTGAAGGACGACACTTTTCAAATAAATGTACCTTAAGGCAGAAGTCCCTTTGCTTCTTTGTCGTCATAGGAAAAGAGGTATAAATGGAACATTTGTCCTTAACATGTCCCTGGCCTAAACAAATTAGGCAACTTGTGTGGCTATCATTCACAGGGATCATGGCCCTGCAAGTAACACACTGTTTAAACCCTGGGGATCTCTGCATGATGAAAGACACCCTGCACCAATAAATAAGCTACTAAACTACTCTCATAACTAATACTATGCTCTAATACTAACCAATGCTAAAAATCTCTAAAAATGATGTACACAGATTTTTTTCAGTATAGTTAGTTAAACAAACTGAAGCTCAAGAGCAATGGGGAGCTCCAACTCTTGCCGTGAGTGGTAAGAAGGAACTGAGGCAGAGGTGGTGGCGATACCCCTTTTGCCCTCAGCTCTGTGTGCAAGGAAGGCAGGGGTGCATGCACTACCTGCTAACACTGCCGGCAAGAGTCTCTGACTCGAATGCATTGGGCACAAATGGACCTACAGTGGACTGTATACATGCACAATCACTCAAAGAACCATCATCACAATAGTTAAAGAGCCTATGGGGCTGGGAAGGCAGGGCAGTTCGGTGCAAGCTTAAACAAAGGGATAGAGCACTGAGCCTTCAGATCTGTTAGTGAGGATGTGTCCAGCCCCAGACGCTGCTTTTCAGAAAGTTGAAACTTACATATGCATGTTGCAAAAGTGGGGGATCAACGGGGACAACACTTGAAGGAGAAGAATATGTATATTCACCTGTTTGCCTAATACACTGTTTTCAAGGGATCTCAAAACAGTGACTGGCAAAAACAAGGCTCATATCACTATGAAGCATAACTGCCAAGTTTTGTGCAGATACTGTTTGCAAGTTTAGTGAGCTAATTTGTATAGAATCATAAACTTGAGCTTGTGGTCAACACACACTGCCCCAAGCAATGGTAGAGGTAGGACATGGAGCTATGCAAAACCTGGCAGGTTTGGCTGGCATAGGTGAGTGCTGGGGTTTCTAAGGAGTAGGGGGCTCACAGGGTATTGGGTCACAGGGGGCTGCTCTTCAGGAAGTGGGGAAAACTAGGTGCAGTTGGCTGCAGGAACACAGGAGGGAGAGAGAAGTTAGAGGGAGCCTTGTGGCCTCTCTTTGCGGGGCTGAGAACCACTGCCCATCCTGGGAATTCCTTCCTGACTGAAATCCAGCAAGGAGAGAAAAGATGCCTGCCTGGCTGACTACTCAACATTATAGCAATGGCCCTGGGGACCAAAAGGCAGAGTTTCTGCAGTTCAACCAGAAGTGTGAAATTCAGACCGAGCCACAGGCAGGTGTCACAGAGCTGTCAAATGAGTGACTATCACGCGACATGTGTGACACCTGGGAGCCCAGATGAGGTGACTGAAGGACAGAGTGGCAGTTTTAACTGAATTTCCCATCTTTGGAAATAAGGCTGACCTTTAATAGTGCTTATATGTATTTACTGCTTATATCAAAAACTTAAATTAGAGGTCCGTTTCTTTTTTGGCTGTATATAAATGTCAGTTAGCTTTACTTACATATGTGCTTCTATCTTCTGCTTCAGCTTGCTGGACTATAAAGGTAAGAATTAAAAATGAATTTAGATACATAATCCAGAAAATTAAAAATATAACTCTAGGTGCACATACAAATGGGAGCTCCAACTTTTACAAATAGTTTTCTTCAAAAGTTTCACTTTTCAGATACTTTTACCATGTGTATTTTACTGCACAATTCAGAAGTGTAATAGTCTCTATGCATTTAGATAATTTTATTTATATTCTTTGCATCACTCTGACATTCTGGATTTTATAGTATACTTCTTGCTATAGAACCATTTAGCAGCAAAAGTGGAAAGACTGACACAATTCAAAGAAGGAGGCAGAAAGAAGGAAACAAAGAAGACATGATTACAAAAGCAGACTCCAAATATTTTTCATTCATTAACTTTACGTCTCAATTTAGAGTATTAGAACATTTAGAAATTTAAAATAGGTTTATTTTAAAATACATAGTAATATTTTCCTACATTTGAAATAATTCACTCTGAAACTGTTAGAACAAAAACAAAAAAACTAACCTGCTCCCCCTACCAAAAAAATAGTGCAAATGAAGCCAATTCATAGGATTTCCATCTAAATTTTGAGTGCCCCTTAGTTTATGAAAACACTAGTAGTAACTTTGGGCTTCACTGTTTACTAGGAAGAACTGTCGCCTCAACTGGCAGGACTTTCAGCTTCAAAATAGCAAGGCTAATGTGATTAATTTAAGAAAAAAAACATTTCATTTGCCACGGTGATTTATAGGCAGTATTGGTCTTCCCAGATTCTGCAACTAGTAGGATTTGGGGACAGAACTACTTGCCACTTCCACAAGAAGAAAATCTCCCCAATCCCAAAGGGACTAAAAATCCAGAGGCAATTCTGTGAGTACAAATTCGGAATCTGAATCACTCTATTAGGCTTATTCTGTTATAGGGAATTCCTTAGGATGATTAAAGCCTGTCACTCAAACACAAAATAAAAAACATAAAAACCACATACCCACAATTGCTGTGCTTTGTGTCATAATTTTCACTAGTTTTTCAAGACCTATCAATCCTAACCTGAATTTACCACTCCTGAAAGCAAGGATGCAAGTAAATAAAACTTAAACGTAAACTGTTAATTTTAATTAAATGATTTAAAAAATTGTAATCTTAAATAATTACAATTATATCACAAAACGCGTTTTTGAAGGGGATTGGCAGACAGAAGACGTTATAAAACATGTCTTACAGTAAAAGACTCTAAAGAGGTCAATCTGTTTTGTGATCAAGTCTTCCCGCAACCTTCTCTTTGTTAAGACAGTCTACCAATGCCAACATGGCAAACAGAAGTTTTATAATAAAAAGCTCTTCAGCCCAGCAGACAAAAGGTATAACAAGATCCAACAGCTTGAAGCTGATGCTAGACCAACTCAGACTAGAAATAAGGCACAATTTTTAACTGTGAGGGTAATTAACCATTGGAACAACTTACCAAGGGTCATGGTTAAGGCTGCGAGTCTGTCACGGACGTCACGGATTCTGGCTTGGGCAGCCCCTGGGCCAGTAGCAGCAGTTTGGGTGTGTGGGAGGGGGCTCAGGCTAGAGGCAGGGGGGCTAGGGGGTGCAGGGGGCACTTATCTTGGGGTGAGGGGCTCCTACTGCCATGGCCCTGCAGCTCCTAAGTGGCGGAGGGGCTGGGGGGGCTCCGCACAGCACGCTGCCTGCCGGCCCCGCCCCCGCAGCTCCCATTGGCTGCCGTTCCCAGCCAATGAGAGCTGCAGCAGTCGATGCGCTTGTGCTCCTCCACTGCCTAGAAGCTGCAGGGACACTGAGCCGGGTAGGGAGCCATTGTCAGCCCATCCAATCCCTCCCCCGCAGCACCAGCAAGGGTCTCCGTCCTCCAGCACCAGCGGGGGTCCCGGGCCACCTGCCCCAGCACCTGTGGTGCCCCTGGACCACTCCCGCCCCCAGAGTACCCGTGGTCCCCGCCCAAGTTTACGTCACAGGTATTTTTAGTAAAAGTCATGGACCCCAGGTCACGGGCCGTGAATTTTTGTTTTCTGCCCGTGACCTGTCCATGACTTTTACTAAAAATATCTGTGACTAAAACGTAGCCTTAGTCATGGTGGATTCTCCATCGCTGTAAATTTTTAAATCAAGATGGTATGTTTTTCTAAAAGACATGCTCTATTTCAAGCAGGAATTAATTCATACGAAGTTCTATGGCCTGTGTTAAACAGGAAGTCAGACTACAATGGTCACAATGGTCCTTTCTTGCCTTATCTCTGAGTCCTCAGGGCCCATCCTTCTTATGAGAGGAAGCCCCCTAAGGATCCATCATGGCAGGAGCAGAATGGCAGGCAGTCAGCGACTATCCCCGTGGGCACACTGCGAGAGTTAACTTGCAACACTTTGCCATGTGAGTTTAAGTGAGGAAAAGTTATTCAGAAGAGTAAGACTGGCTCCCACAGCTCTGCAGTTTTTCCACCTATGGAGCAAGAACTCCAAAGAAGGGTCTTCAGCAGAGCTGGGGAAATGTAGGGAGAATGCGACAGATAACCCTTCCTTCTTCTGCATCCTGATCCTTGGATTCTGGCTCTATTCTCTTCTCACAGAGTGTAGGGAAGCATTTAAGTTTTATGGTTTGAAAAGTTGCATTTCATTTTTAAGTTGCTTAAAACAGAAGTTTTTGAGCTGGGACTCTGCTGCTCTGAGGGGACTCATGGTTCCCCAGTTTGGAGAGACTGAGAATTTCCCAGGGTCTGGATGCTGCGGACCCATTCCTGTCAAGTTTGGCTTGCTCTAGACCTTCGACAGACTTATCAGGCAGGAGGGTTTTATTTTATTTTGTCTATTTAAAAAAAAAAAATCGCAAGGAAGATGGACCCAAACCCTGAACAAAGGTTTTCTCCCTGCTGAAAATTACTATCTCTTAGGCTAATAAAAACCCCACCAAGCCACAGCCTTGTTGTTGTTACAATAATTATCAGCACCAGCAAGACTGAAAGGGAGAAGGGGCACCATTCTGATTACATTTAAAGAAAGTCTGACACTAACACACATGAATTTTGAGAAAACTGGTCAGAGGTCTCCACCTTCAAGAAGTTTGAGAACCACTAGCTTTCACTTACTCCTTCTGTCTTGGATCCTTGCTCCTGCAAAGCCTTTTGGAGATCCTCAATCTGTTGCTGCAGCTCTCCAATACGCTCATTGCTTAGCCTGTGAGAAGGTAAAAGAACTCAGTCACTCATCCGTCTTCTAATAATCAGGACATGTAGAGTGAAGTTATTCCCCTACACATCTGGGTTATAATTCTTCAGTAAAGGTTACACAAAATGGAAGCGTCTGAAGTCAATATATATTTTGTTTGTGTATCAGACCTAATCGTAGTTGCTGCAGGCAGGTGCTTGGAACATTTACTGGACACGTAGTAGCCTGTGGGCTAAAACTTACTTTTTTGGAGGGGGTGGGAGGGCTGTGTAGGTGGTGGAAAGTGCCTACCTGGAGAGAAGGGAAGTATCTGTGGTACCTGAGAAAGTGCTGGGATTCCTGCCCGAATGCTGCCCCTAGACTCTATTTCAGGGCTTCATCTTCAGTATCAGCTTTTGGTTAAAGGAGTCTGATAAATTTGAAGTCCCTTCTCCCCACCCTAACCCCTTCTGGCTGTAGGACAAGGGACGTTACTTGCTCTTTTGCTATTACCTTGAGCACTCTGCCCCATACCACAAAGCCTCCTGGCTTCTAACAATGGGGAACGTCTCTACTACTCTCTCTCTCTCTCTCTCTCATCTCCTTCTGGCTGCTACATAGGGTGTCTACTAATCTAGCCCCTCACAGCCTCTACTGCCTCCAATGCTGGTCTGTATTTGGAGCTTCCCAAAGCAGCAGCAGCAGTGAATTGGACATGCTTCTTGTCCAAGTAATTGGTGCCCTCAGTGTTCTAAACAACAAGCATGAAAACTAATGAGATTGATGATCTTTAAAAACATAAGGGCTAGTATTTTTTTTAAATGAAGACTTAGACTTCAGATGTTGATGGCACTGGTCTCCCAACTGAGCAGGGAAAACTTCCTTCTTGGAAGTGGTGGGTAGAAGATTGCATTTTTTCCTTCCTGCTGCAGATGATTTATCTTATACTAAAATATTAAGTATTTGGATACTTTATTGGGCAAGATTGTATAAGCTGATGTATTTTGTTTTGAAGAAACCTTAGCTTTTGGGCTGAGACAATGCACAGTTTCAATCCCATTAAAAAAAACCTTTGCAAACGTAAGGGAAAGAAGAGAGGGGATAAAACTGGACCATTTTAAAATGGCCTGCATATAGTCTCCTATTTGTGGATCTCACAAGCATATTCATAGGTTTTCAGCAAAAGTGTTTGCAGTACTCTTAAAAATTTTAGCAACTTAAACTACTCCTAAATTGTTATAGCCTAAGATAAACTTCATTCAGCATTAACCGGTGAAGAAATTCACCCAGTACCACAACTCTGGCTTCCCAGCCCAAAGGTCTACAGTTTGAGCAATGTAAAACTATAATGACCGATTTTCTTCACCCACTCTAGGACTATCAAGAATCACCCATAGGTGAGTCCTAAATAATATCCTCTTCAAAGAATACCAAAGCATGGAGCAGCCACATTTGGCCTGCTGACATCTTTTTTGCAGGTTTACACTTTCTATGTTCTTTGTCGTTTCCTTACTCCTTCCTCTTTGTAATGAATGCATCAATGCTTCCATTAGCCAAAGGCAGGACAAGTGGTTACCTTCAACTAGTGTTGGATCAGCAAGGCAAGTCACACTGCCTCCCTTCTAAGGTTTCAGTCCTGAGATTATTCTCTGCAGTGCGATTAGCTGCTGTTTTGTGTGACTGGTGCCTACTCCAAACTGCTCTCAGGTTTATAAAAGAAGATTAAAAAAACCAGGAAAACAAATCACCTTTTTTCTGTTTCCAGTTCATTCATCATCCGATGCTTTTGCTCTAGCTGTTCCTGGAGTTCTACAATACGTTCATTTTCTGAACCTTCTTGTTGCAAGAGAAGCATCTTGTTTTCATGCTGCAGTCGAATAAACATTTCTCTATGGGTCAAAAACAAAAAGTCTCCATTCTGTGAAGAGTTTATATAAATAGTTCTTGACTAATTAAAAAGAAAGGAGTTTTGCAGAAGAGGTGGCATTCCAGTTCACTAAGATGCCAGTGTACTGAATGTTCTTCAATAAACACAAGTGTCATAGTACAGTGTTAGCAAAAACAACCTGAAACAAACACCTTCAAAGATCATCAGCAAAGTTGGAACCTCTAGATCCAACACTCACACCTCTTCCACTTGAGCCAACAATCATCCCTTATGTGGGCTAGAGAGGCATGAGACACTCTGTCGGGGCGGAGGGATAGCTCTGTCAGTGAGTTTCTCAGCTATTTGCTGATAGCAAAGGCATGAGTCTCAGGAATCCTAAGTTCCATTCCAGGCTTTGGAAGGGAGTGTTCTCTAGTGGTCAGACTTCAGCCAGTTTCCCCAAAGCTTGACCCCTTCTGCTACACCCCCTCTAAACTGTCCCAGTCCTGTCTCTTCCCCACCCTTGTCTTTTTGTCCCAGTCCCATTCTCCTTGATTACCCCATCCCAGTGTCCACCTGGGCTTCTCATCTTACTCCCAGTCTCCTGGCCCAACCAGTCCTAGTATCCCCCTTTGGGCTCACTGTGAATTCCAAGGTGATGTACTTCCCCCAGCGTCATTCTTGGAAACTGCTGAACTTAAAAAAAAACCCACAATCCTGTGGCAGACACCTGCATATAGTTTTAGTTCAAAAGGTTAAAGATTGGTCAACTGAAAACAGGGTCTTATAATGGGAAGTGTTGAGCAACCTTAATAATAGGTGGTGTTACCACCCTGCCTATAATACTATTAGACTACTTCTAAACGTCTTCTTTCAATTCCTCTATGAGAAGAAAACACATTTACTGTAGTATTAGTAAGACATATAACACCACATTATTCAGGGCTGAACCTGCACTTTGCAAGTTTATGTGATTGCCTATCCTTGGTTCTGCCAGACTTTCCATATAACCATGGCAAGTTCTTAACCACTCTGCTTCAGTTTCTTCATCTGCAAAATGAGGATACCTTCCTACCTTATACAGTGTGTTGCAAAGTTTAATTTAATGTCTGTAAAGCATTTTACTAGTACCTTCCCTATAAGAACATCAAAATGCTAGTTTTTTAGTTGGGGGGGGGGGGAACAGTTTGAGACACGGAACTTTTGAAAGAGAAGGGTGTTGCTCAAAGTGAGCTCTTTCCTTACCTGTATTCCACTGGTAGAATTTCAGCAGCAAGATTCTCATGACTTTTTACAACAGATGCATCTGAAAAGACATGACAAATTGACAAATTCACTTCCAGATAACATTCCAATCTATTTTAAAAAAACATCAAGAAAGTACCTGCTTGATTCAGGCGATCCTGTTGCATCTGAGAACACCGGAGCTCTTCATTAGTTTCTTTCAGAGCATCACGCTGTACTATAAGTCTCTAAGAAAAGGTCAAAGCACATTTAAGGTAGAAATAAGACAAAATTGTTTCATGTTGGCACATTCCATTACGAATGAAAGATCTATCATTTATAACACTATTTTCAGGACATGAGTTAAATGTTGAAGGCTTTTGATAATGTTTATATCAAATGCTGACCTATCAATTTCCAAATGACAAAGACCAGTATATTAAAGCAACTATATATAATTTCTAGTGCTAAGTCTCATCCCTATGGTAGCACTACTGATGCCTAAGAGCACCTGAGAAATTATTCTCAAGGTGACCACAGTGAAAAATTCTGGCCAGGCCAGCACACAAAATAAAAAATCTGAGAGACTTTCTAGTGAGTTTGAGTAACACTCGTGCATAAGACTTACCTCTTTTTCTTTGAATAAAGCTTCATGCTTTTCTTCAAGTCGCTTCAATTCAAATGCTAAAGTATCAGCTCTTTTGGACTCCTCCGAAAGTCTGTTATGAAGCTCCTGGACCTTGAATGATAATGACATAGGCATTATATTTAGTGTATGTTCTAAGATTTTATTAATATAATTTTTTTAAACTCTGGCACTCTTATGGGTGGGGAAAAAGAGGGCTGGATCAAGAAGAGGAAGGAGATTATGTTCAAGTAGTTCGTTATTCACATAGTCTCAGAAGCCTAATAAAGTAGGTTTCTATGGTTGTTGTAATTTAATCAGAAATAAAAATGTGTGTCTCTTTGCTGAATGCAACCAACACACATTGTTCATCTTGGCCAGCAGCTTTTTTTCCCCTTAAATAAAAGACATAGGAATTCTGATGACTAGTTTGGAACTTTTAGAAGCAAATTGTTATGCACTTCCAAAAATGAAAACAAGATACTTTTAAAAAAGATTTTTTAAATCAGTAAGATAGTATATCATACCTAGAGGATGTCAGCTACACATTAAACAAAACAAGACACCTGATCACCACTTCACTCAGTGAACCGATGGGTTGCACACTGTGCCGTGAACTGCAGGTCAAGAAATGACCTCAGTTAAGCCAGTTGGTGAGCATTTGGAAGGGAAAAGGGGAGATTGAGAGTATATTGCAGAGCTGAAAGTTTCCTTATAAACAGTCTTGACACCAGCCCAACAATTGTTAGATCAAGCAGCCCAATTTTTTTCAGTCAACTGTAATTATATTTTATAAAAATACACCTGAGAATAGGTAAGATGATGAATACAGTTGTTGCCTTACCTGCCTTTTGTATGTTTCCAGCTGAGCACGTGCTGCATTTGCCTTCTTTAGCTCTTCCTCTAGGCTGACTGTATTATGCATATACATCATGTTGGTGTCTTGCAGAGACTTCACCTGTCGGCGGAAGTCATTCAAGTCCTCCAGTTTTTTACGATACACTTCAACTGTTGACTCCAGTTTACTTGCCTTATCTGCAAAAGTTCTACAAGAATAAAAATGAATTACAGAAACAGTAAGATGCATTTTTCACACAAACACACTACAACTAAGCAAATCAGTAAGTTCTGCCCTCATCTGCAAGGATGGTTCCAATTAGCTTAGACAGGGATATGCATTCACATATCCAAGGCTAGAGTTACGTCCTCTGTGTAAAACTAATGCATTATTTTAATTCTTAGCGGTAGGGTTGATATAAACTCATAAATGCAAAGTTTAGTTTTAAAAGTAGTCATTGTGGAGGTGCAGGCCCACAAAACTGTGTGTTGACATATGCCTTGTAGACAGAGACAGTATATTAAATGGCCCCACACATTCATGATGGTGTTGGAGTTAATACAAGTGAACGATGCCCTAGGCTACAGATTGATCCTGCAGCTGAGTAAGCCTGCAAAATACCAGTGCCTCTATCTAGCAGGAATAGGTACAAAGTTAAGGTATATTACTACACAGATAGGTTTTGGAGATCATTATCCTATGGGTATTTTTGCCAGGAGGCATGACCAAGGAAGACAAATTGATCAGTTTCTTTTAAAAGATATGTAAGACAGAAAGTGTTCTGTCCAAATGATATCAAGGTATTTTGATACAGAAATGGATCTTCATTTTACTGGCACAAAAGAATTAACAAACCTTTAAACTAAATATTGAGTCACTTTACTGTCTGGCATCTTACAAAATTAAAAATTAGCATAGGAGTAATTACAAAATCCAGTCTCTCATACTTAACCTGATGCTCTTCTATGAACCTTGATATAATGTAAGATTGGAATATATTTTATTCTATATTAAATTATGTATTATAACAATAAAAAAGAGTGACTTTACATGGTTATATTTCTAGAAATATTATAGCACCATATTTACTTTCTGTACTTTTTAGTAACCAGTTTAGTTTACATATGTTGAACTGAACTCAACATGATAAGTTCTCATCATGCTTGTTGTGTTTTGCCCCTACTTAGTCTTGCAATCCTGAACATACAATCTAACAAAAATACTGATGCAATAGTTAAGTTTCATTTTCACTTGGTTTGAGACTTATATTTGGGCCAGGGCCGGCTCCAGGCACCAGCCCACCAAGCTTGTGCTTGGGGCGGCACCTGGGGGGGGGGGATGCGGCGCTCCGGCCGCCGGGGAGAGCGAGGCCACGGCCGGCCGGGCTCGCCGCCCTCCCCCCGGCGCTCTGGCCGCCCTCCCCGCCGGCGCTCTCCCCCCCACCGGGGCTCGCCGCCCTCCCCCCCGGCGCCCTCTCCCCGGCCGCCGGGGGGAGAGCGGAGCCCCCGCTGGGGCTCGCTGCCCTCCCCCCGGGG